TTTACTTGTGACTCGAGTCTGGACTCGCCGCATGTATTACTCGAGTACTCGAGCCTGGACTCGTTACTCGCACACCTCTAGTTCCCGGTTACCGGGTCTGTATACACTTCCATATTTAAATGGAGCACGTGCTGTCATTGTTATGTAACATGCCCTGGAAAATGGATGGCACCCCTGGAAAATTAAGAAGCATACCCCATCCTTCAGGCAGCGTGAATTTACCATGAACTTTTCAGGCTATCCGTTCTCCAAAAACAGAATTTTCAGGCTAAACCGTCTCTTGTCACTTTCACCCATGACATGGTGGGACTGTTGAAAATTACCTGGAATGAACAGAAATAAAATTGGGTAGTGCTGGAAGAAGCCAACTTTAGATGGTCGCTGATAAAAATACTTCAGAAGAGACAAATGCACTTTCTAGGACTCTTGAATTGACATAAAGGTGTGGAACATCTTGCTCTCACTGGAAAAAAAAATAATAGATGGCATGTATATAGTGCTCTATCCCATACTAGTATAAGCTCTGAGCGCTTTGCACCAATCACATTATCATTGAGCAATTCTCACAAAAGTTCAATCACATAAAGAAGAACTTTCACAATCATACATTAGTTATACACGAAAGAACAGCAGTAAAAACAAAACATATCAGCACTTACTAACACACTATAACTAAGAATTAAACGAATGAGTCTTGAGCAATCGCTTAAACGTTTCAATTTTTTTTTTTTTTCTCTGAGAACCTAGGGCAAGGAGTTCCAGATTTTAGGGCCAAAAAAAGAGAAACTTTTCTCACCAAAAGATCGTAATTTCATTCTAGGGGCACCAAATTTTGTTGCATCTGTGGATGACCGTAATTGACTAATTGACAAGATGGAATATATGGTGTTAAAAGCTCAGATGTTATGATTGGGCTTTATCGTTAAGACATTTATAAATAGAGGGCAAAAGAGACATAGGTAGAAGAGACCAAAAATAATTTACTTTGAGGTCACGACTATATGTGTAATGTGTGATTGAAAAAGACCACAGTAATTGGGAGGGGTGGGGGGGTTTAGAGGTTTAAAGCATGGGAAATAAGTGGTGAACCGTGATCGCAGATGTCTATTTCAGGTGTGACCTTGAAGAATATATGTACAACTTTATGTATGCTTTTATACAGGAGTGGCCCCCCCCCCCCCCCCCCCCCCCCCAAGGTTCTGACTTTCTTTTTTGTGTTTAGAAAAATGCTTATGGGCAACAATGTGAATGGAAAACTCAGTTACCTTGTTTCAGCATCTTTTTACCTCAATAAGTCTTTAACTATTAGTTGTACATGTATTTACCTATATCAGCAAGATGCACATGTAATTTATTTTATGCATGTGGATAAGTGCTTATCATCATCACTCTGCCTTTCTCACCCTGCTTCAGGGTATAGGCCACGTACAAACACTTTCCCCGTTTCCCTATCTAAGCTAGCCTCTTGATATTATTCCATGTCTTCCCTTTCTGTATATCATTCTCTGTGACTCTTCTATGCATTCCATGTGGCCTTCCCTTTGATCTCTTATCCTGTGGATGGGGGCTTCTGCATGTATATATGTAATATGTGTAAGAGAGGGAGAAAGAGCCTCTGTATGTGTGAGAGAGAAAGAGAGATAATGTGCGTATATGTGTGTGCGAGAGAGACAGACAGACAGACAGACAGACAGATAGAGTGTGTGTATTAATTAGTCCGTTAATATGTGCATGCAAAGCTTTGACCTTGATTTTCATGTCTAGTGTAATGGTTAATCTCTTCTCTTTAGCCACACAGAAGACACAAGGTCAATTCCTGTGTTGCGAAATTGTTTTGTCGAATACATTTATCTCCGTCTGTCTGCTCATATGCTATATTAAGACCCTTTCTTATGTTATTATCATTTTGATTACTTAAGAGATTGATCAGTGTTTTGGTAATAAAGTTTTGGTTTGCTTGAAAAGATTTGTAAAATTTCATCTCCTTAATTCTTTTTTCTTCAGATCCAGACAAAACATTTTTGCAAGCCATGTACGACTACCAGGCCCGGACAGAGTCAGAAACTTCCTTCTGTAAAGGGGATCAAATGGAGCTGCTGGATGATTCGTGAGTTTCGTTTTGGTCGTCTGAGACGCCAACATCTTCGAGAGAAATAAAGTTGGGCCCCGTCATTTCCAACTTCTTCACTAAGTGCACAAGTTCCAGGGTTGCAATGGGGGTCACAGTGGTGTAGTAGTGTGTCTCCCAGGAACAGGAAACGGAATAAGCTGTAATCGTCGTGAAGGGGGGGGGGGGGCTATACTTAACATTTTTTACCTCTTCCTGCCAATCAAAAGTGGACAAACTGGCTTTTTTTTTTCAGCCAGGATGGGGAGAGGGTGGCTTGAAGTAATCATAGTGATCATTTTTTCCCAGTGGGGTGTTTGGTGGGCTTTCTTCCTATTTATCTTGTCTTTTCTGTTCACTAAATGAGCACTTATCATGACTGTGTACTTAGATCCATACCCAAACCTATCAAACCCTGATTTTTTTCCATTGACCTGAGGACAGACATCTTGTCAATCAAAACTATAAATGTAAATTAAGCCGTTGTTGTTTTTTTCCATTACGGGGGGGTTGTTTTTTATGAGTTTTTGGGTTGTTGTTTTTTTTTAAGGGGTAGTTAAATTGTGTCGATATTCATGTTTAATATTTACAATTGAACTGGAGACAGCTCGGGATTAAATGTAAAGAGAATTTTACTGCTATTCTTAGTTTTTTTAACTTGAGGGTTCAGTTTCAGAAAGCTTCATATTGACTGCTCAGTGTTGGACTCAGTCTTCTATCATTTTGCAAAATGACGCTTGGCGGAGTCTTACACGAAGCAGTGGATATCATTGCCGTTTCAAGAATCAAGAGTAACTCTTTAGTGGGTTCTTTTTTTTCTTTTGGTTCACCCTGAAAAGCAAAGTCAGAGTTAAGCATTTAAGTCAAGACATTGAGGTATGGAAGCCATTATTGTCGTAGATTGAACTCTTTAGAATTTTGGCCTGTTTTGTAAAAAAAAAAGGTGCCTCAGGGTTATTGCAGAGGTTTGGTGGTTTTTCGCATTCTTGTAAATGGTTTTTGTCAATTTTGCTCCCTCACTTTCTCTTGTTGTATCCCACATGTACATAATTTTTTCATCTATTGTGGTATATTTCATTGCTAATTTATCTCTCTCCTTCTCTCTCTCTCTCTCTCTCTCTGTCTCTCTGTCTCTCTCTCTCTCTCTCTCTCTCTCTCTCTCTCTCTCTCTCTCTC